ACGACACCCCGGCCGTGGAATTGGGGGAATTTGGGGTCCCACAGAATTTTGGGGGCTGGGGGTCCCACCTCGGGGGCTGTGGGGGTCCTGGGGGTTCTCTGGGGGTCTCAGCACATCCTGGGGGTCCCAAATCCAAGCAGAGGGGGAGAGAGAGACACCAGGCAAGGGGGAGGGGGAATTTTGGGGTCCCACGGATTTTGGGGGTCCCAACCCCTGAGGGGGTCAGGGGAGTTTGGGGGTCCTGGGGTCCTGGGGGTCTCAGCAGGTTTTTGGGGGGTCCCAAAGAGAACTGGGAAGGATCCACGACCCCCGGGCTGTGGGAATGGGGAGGAATTTGGGGAATTTTGGGGGTCCCGTGGGATTTTGGGGGCTGGGTCCTAAACTCAGGGATCAGGGGTCCCAGTGGAGTTTGGGGGTCTCTGGGGGTCTCAGCACATCCTGGGGGTCCCAAATCCGAGCAGGGTGGGGAGTCCTCCTGAGGAAAGGGGGAATTTGGGGAAATTTGGGGGTCCTACGGGATTTTGGGGGCTGGGGGTCCCAACCCTGGGGGGTTGTGGGGGTCCCGGGGGTCCCAGGGGTTCTCACCGTGGTGTACTCAAGTAGTAGAGGCAGTTGTCGGTGAGGATGAACCAGCGGCGCTTCCAACGTCTTCACCCGCCCCGCCTGGGGGACATTGGGGGCCTGGGGTCTTGGAGAATTTTGGGGGTCTTGGACAATTTGGGGGGGTCTTGGAGGGTTTTGGGGGGGCCCAGGAGGGATTTGGGGAGTATTGGACAATTTGGGGGGTCTTGGACAATTTGGGGGTCTGAGAGGGGTTTTGGGGAGAGATTTTGGGGTCCCAGAGGGGACTTTGGGGGTCTTGGACAATTTGGGGGCCCAGGGGGTTGGGGGTCTTGGGCAATTTGGGGGTCTTGGACAATTTGGGGGTCTGGACAATTTGGGGGTCTTGGACAATTTGGGGGTCTTGGACAATTTGGGGGTCTTGGAAAATTTGGGGGTCCCAGGAGGTTTAGGGGTCCCAGGGGAAACTGGGGGAGGTTTTGGGGGTCCCAGGGAGGTTTTGGGGGTCTTGGACAATTTGGGGGTCTTGGATAATTTGGGGGTCTTGGGCAATTTGGGGGCTCTGGGAGGGGTTTTGGGGGTCTTGGAGGGGTTTGGGAGAGATTTTGGGGTCCCAGAGGGGTTTTTGGGGGTCCAGGAGGGTTTGGGGGTCTTGGACAGTTTGGAGGGTCTGGGAGGGCTTTGGGGGAGGTTTGGGAGAGATTTTGGGGTCCCAGAGGGGGTTTTGGGGGCCTGGGGGTCTTGGACAATTTGGGGGCTCTGGGAGGGTTTGGGGGGTCTGGGAGAATTTAGGGGCAGTCTTGGACAATTTGGGGGTCTTGGAGAATTTTGGGGGCCTGGGGGTTGGGGGTCTTGGACAATTTGGGGGTCTGGGAGGGGTTTTGGGAGAGATTTTGGGGTCCCAGGGGGACTTTGGGGGTCTTGGACAATTTGGGGGCCCAGGGGGTTGGAGGGGTCTTGGGCAATTTGGGGGTCTTGGACAATTTGGGGGTCTTGGACAATTTGGGGGTCTTGGAAAATTTGGGGGTCCCAGGAGGGGTTTAGGGGTCCCAGGGGAGGTTTTGGGGGTCTTGGACAATTTGGGGGTCTTGGATAATTTGGGGGGTCTTGGACAATTTGGGGGTCTTGGAGGGTTTGGGAGAGATTTTGGGGTCCCAGAGGGGGTTTTGGGGGGCCCAGGAGGGGTTTGGGGGGGTCTTGGAGAATTTTGGGGGTCTTGGAGAATTTGGGGGCTCTGGGAGGGTTTTGGGGAGAGATTTTGGGGGTCCCAGAGGGGACTTTGGGGGTTTTGGAGAATTTGGGGGGTCTTGGGCAATTTGGGGGGTCTTGGAGGGGTTTGGGGGTCCCAGGGAGGGGTTTAGGGGTCCCAGGGAAACTGGGGGAGGTTTTGGGGTCTTGGAGAATTTGGGAGTCCCAGGAGGGTTTTAGGGGTCCCAGGAAGGGGTTGGGGGCCCAGGGGAGTTTTGAGGGGGTCTTGGAGAATTTGGGGGTCTTGGAGAATTTGGAGGGGTCTTGGAGGGGTTTGGGGGGTCTTGGACAATTTGGGGGTCTGGGAGGGGTTTTGGGGGTCTTGGAGGGGTTTGGGAGAGATTTTGGGGTCCCAGAGGGGTTTTGGGAGGGCCCAGGAGGGGTTTGGGGGGGTCTAGGGGGGGTTTGGGAGGGGTCTTGAGGAATTTGGGGGGGGTCTTGGACAATTTGGGGGTCCCAAGAGGGGTTTGGGAAATTTGGGGGTCCCAAGTGCTACCTCCCCCCATCCCAGTACTCACCTCCTGGGGGTCCCGATGATGTCACCGGGGGATTTTGGGGATTTTAGGGGATTTGGGGAGGATTTGGGGAATTTTGGGGGGGATTTGGGGAGGATTTTGGGAGAATTTGGGAGATTTTGGGGGATTTTAGGGGGAGGATTTGAGGAATTTTGGGGAGGATCTTGGGGAGATTTTGGGGAGGATCTTGGGAGGATTTTGAGGGGATTTTGGGAGAATTTGGGGAGGATTTTGGGGGAGGATTTTGAGGGGATTTTGGGAGAATTTGGGAGGATTTTGGGAGGATCTTGAGGGCATCTTTGGGAGAATTTGGGGAGGATTTTGGGGAGGATTTTGAGGGGATTTTGGGAGAATTTGGGGAGGATTTTGGGGAGGATTTTGAGGGGATTTTGGGAGAATTTGGGGAGGATTTTGGGGAGGATTTTGAGGGGATTTTGGGAGAATTTGGGGAGGATTTTAGGGGGGATTTTGGGGGGAGGATTTTGAGGGGATTTTGGGAGAATTTGGGGAGATTTTGGGGAGGATTTTGAGGGGATTTTGGGGGAAAAAAAGGAGGAGGGAGAGAGAGAACAAAAGTCATTCACGGCCACAGTAAACTGGGAGGAACTGGGAGGGACTGGGAGGGACTGGGGGGACTTGGGGGGCACTGGGAGGTTACTGGTGTGACTGGGAGGGACTGGGGTTTGCTTTGGGTGGATTTGGGTGAATTTGGGTGGGGTTTTGGGGGGTGTCAGTGGGGTGGGTGTGTCCCAGCCCCTCCCAGTGTTCCCAGTGTACCCAGTTTGAGCAGCCAGCCCTCCCTGTCGGGGTTGAAGAAGGTGTGGGGGTTGGGTTTGGGTTGGTTTGGGTTGATTTGGGGTGAATTTGGGTTGGTTTGGGTTGGTTTGGGTGGGTTTGGGCGGGGTTTGGGTGGGTGTGGCTGTCCCCAGGTGTGTCCCAGCCCCTCCCAGTGTTCCCAGTGTACCCAGTTTGAGCAGCCAGCCCTCCCTGTCGGGGTTGAAGAAGGTGTGGGGGGTTGGGTTGGGGTTGATTTGGGGTGAATTTGGGTGAGTTTGGGTGAATTTGGGTGGGGTTGGGCGGGGTTTAGGTGGGCGTGGCTGGCTGTGGGTGTGTCCCAGTCCCTCCCAGTGTTCCCAGTGTACCCAGTTTGAGCAGCCAGCCCTCCCTGTCGGGGTTGAAGAAGGTGTGGGGGGTTGGGTATGAATGGATTTGTGTTGGTTTGGTTGGGTTTGGTTGGGTTGGGGATGGTTTGGGTGAATTTGGGTGGGGTTGGGTGGATTTTGGGTGGGCGTGGCTGGCTGTGGGTGTGTCCCAGTCCCTCCCAGTGTTCCCAGTGTACCCAGTTTGAGCAGCCAGCCCTCCCTGTCGGGGTTGAAGAAGGTGTGGGTGAGGTCGTTGCCGTCGTCCTCGGGGATCTTGAAGGGCTCCGAGCGGATGCTCTCGTAGAGGTTCTGATGGGGGCGGGGTCACCGCTGGACACGCCCACCCACAGGCCACGCCCCCTCCACGGACACGCCCTGTTGCCCACCCACCCCCAAGCCAACCCCGCCCTTTAGCCCCGCCCCCATTCCCGACCCCCAACCCCCCAGACCCAAATCCAACCCCACCTTCAGGCCCCACCCCTTCAGGCTCCACCCCTTTGACCACACCCTCTTAAGCTCCGCCCCTTGGCCACGCCCACACAGGCCACGCCCCCTCCTCAGAGCCCCACCCCACCCCTTCAGGCCCGCCCTTTGACCACACCCACACAAGCCACGCCCTCCTCAGAGCCCCACCCCATCCCTTCAGGCCCCTCCTTGACCACACCACACAAGCCACGCCCCCTCCCCAGAGCCCCGCCCCTTTAGGCTCCACCCTGTGCCCCACCCAATTCAGCCACGCCCATTTGAAGCCCCTCCCTCCCGTCACCCCCACGAGCCCCCAAAATCAACTCCCCCAAACCCTCCCCCACACCCCAACCCCACCCCACCTAAGCCACGCCCCATGGGCCACACCCAGTTAGCCACGCCCATTTTAAAGCCACGCCCACCCTGAAGAGCTCCTGGGGCAGCTCCCCCTTGTCGATGATGCCCTCCTGATTTTCACCTCAAACCCACCCCAAACCCACCCAAATCCACCCCAAACCCACCCCAAACCCACCCAAACCTCTACCAGACTCCACCCAGCGGCCCCACCCAGTTAAGCCCCGCCCATTTGAGGCCCCCGCCTACCCTGAGAGCTCCTGGGGCAGCTCCCCTTGTCGTTGATGCCCCTCCTGATTTTCACCCCCACCCACCCCAAACCCACCCAAACCCACCCAAACCACCCCAAGCCCACCCAAATATATCAAGCCCCGCCCCAGCAGCCACACCCAGTTAAGCCCCGCCTATTTTGAAGCCACGCCCACCTGAAGAGCTCCTGGGCAGCTCCCCTTGTCGTTGATGCCGCTTCTGATTTTCACCTCCCACCCACCCCAAATCCACCCAAATTCACCCAAGCCCACCCAAACCCACCCCAAACTCTCAGACTCCACCCCAACGACCCCACCCAGTTAAGCCCCGCCCATTTTAAAGCCACGCCCACCTGAGGCTCTCGAGCAGCTCCCCTTGTCGTTGATGCCCCTCCTGATTTTCACCCCACCCACCCCAAACCCACCCCAACCTCTCAGACCCCACCCCAACGAGCCCCACCCAGTTAAGCCCTGCCCATTTAGAGCCCCACCCACCTGAGGAGCTCCTGGGGCAGCTCCCCTTGTCGTTCATGCCGCTTCTGATTTTCAAACCCCACCCACCCCAACCCACCCAAATTCACCCCAAACCCACCCTGATGACATCACCCAGCTAAGCCACGCCCTGTTAGGCCCCGCCCACCCTGAGGAGCTCCTCGGGAGGTCGCCCTCGTCGCTGATGCCGTGGTTCATGGCCACGGCGCTCGGCCCAAACCCACCCAAACCCACCCCAAACCCACCCAAATCCACCCCAAACACCCCAAATCCACCCCAAACCCACCCTGATGACATCACCCAGCTAAGCCACGCCCTGTTAGGCCCACTCCACCCTGAGGAGCTCCTCGAGAGCTCCCCTTATCGTTCATGCCGCTTCTGATTTTCAAACCCCAAACCCACCCAAATCCACCCAAACCCACCCAAACCCCACCCTGATGACATCACCCAGCTAAGCCACGCCCTGTTAGGCCCCACCCACCCTGAGGAGCTCCTCGGGAGGTCGCCCGTCGTTGATGCCGCAGTTCATGGCCACGAAGTGTTCAACCCAAACCCACCCAAATTCACCCAAACCCACCCAAATTCACCCAAACCCACCCCAATCTCTCAGACTCCACCCCAACGACCCCACCCAGTTAAGCCCCCACCCATTTGAGGCCCCACCCACCCTGAGGAGCTCCTCGGGAGGTCCCCCGTCGTTGATGCCGCGGTTCATGGCCACGAGGCGCTCGACCCAAACCCACCCAAATTCACCCAAACACCCCCAAATCCACCCCAAACCCACCCTGATGACATCACCCAGCTAAGCCACGCCCTGTTAGGCCCCGCCCACCCTGAGGAGCTCCTCGGGGAGGTCCCCCCCGTCGTTGATGCCGCGGTTCATGGCCACGAAGCGCTCGGCCCAAACCCACCCAAATTCACCCCAACCCCACCCTGATGACATCACCCAGCTAAGTCACGCCCTGTTGGGCCCCGCCCACCCTGAGAGCTCCTCGGGAGGTCGCCCCGTCGTTGATGCCGCGGTTCATGGCCACGAGCGCTCGACCCAAACCCACCCAAACCCACCCCAAACCCACCCAAACCCACCCCAAACCCACCCAAATCATCAAGCCCCACCCCCAACAACCCCACCCAGTTAAGCCCCGCCCATTTAGAGCCCCACCCACCCTGAGGAGCTCCTCGGGGAGGTCGCCTCGTCGTTGATGCCGCGGTTCATGGCCACGGCCTTCGGCCCAAATCCACCCAAATCCACCCCAAACCCACCCCACGACCTCACCCCTTGGTGCCACGCCCTGTTAGGCCCCGCCCACCCTGAGGAGCTCCTCGGGCAGGTCCCCCCCGTCGTTGATGCCGCGGTTCATGGCCACGAAGCGCTCGGCCGAGGGCTTGTCCCGCACGTTGGGGTTGTGCAGGCTGGTGTTGAGCATGATCACAGCGAAGGACAGCACGTAGCACGTGTCTGGGGGGAAAATCGGTCTGGGGGCCCCAAAATCATGGAGGTCCCCAAAATCAGGGGACCCCAAATCCAAAGAGGACCCCAGGGATGGGAGACTCCAAGGAAGGGGAGATGACAATGGGGGACCCCAAAGGACAGGACGTAGCACGGGGATGGGGGGGCAAAATCGGTCTGGGGTGGCAAAAATCGGTCTGGGGGGACCCCAAAATCATGGGGGGGGTCCCCAAAACTCGGGGGGACCCCAAATCCAAAGGGGGACCCCCAGGGATGGGGGAGATGAGAATGGGGTATCCCGAAGGACAGGACCTAAAATGGGGATGGGGGGGGAAAAATCAGTCAGGGGGCCCCAAAATCATGGGGGTCCCCAAAATCATGGGGGTCCCCAAAATCAGGGGGACCCCAAATCCAAAGGCGGACCCTCAGGGATGGGAGAGACTCCAAGGGAAGGGGGGAGATGAGAATGGGGGGACCCCAAAGCACAGGACATAGCATGGGGATGGGGGGACAAAAATCACCTTTGGGGGCCCAAAATCATGGGGGGGGTCCCCAAAATCACAGGGGGGGTCCCCAAAAATCGGGGGGACCCCAAATCCAAAAGGGGACCCCCAGGGATGCGGGAGGTTCCAAGACAGGAGGGGAGATGAGAATGGGGGACCCCAAAGCACAGCAGGTAGCACGGGGATGGGGCCAAAAACCAGCCTGGGGGGGCCTCAAATTAGGGGAGAGGGTCCCCAAAAATCGGGGGGGGTCCCCAAAAATCGGGGGGACCCCAAATCCAAAGGGGGGACCCCAAATCCAAAGGGGGACCCCCAGATCCAAAGGGGGAGATGAGAATGGGGGGACCCCGAAGGACAGGACATAGCACGGGGATGGGGGGGCCAAAAATCGGTCGGGGGGGGCCCCAAATTAGGGGAGGGGTCCCCAAGATCGGGGGGACCCCAAATCCAAAGGGGGACCCCCAGGGATGGGGGAGACTCCAAGGGAAGGGGGGAGATGAGAATGGGAGGACCCCAAAGGACAGCACGTAGCACGGGGATGGGGGAGTCAAAAATCGGTCTGGGGTGGCAAAAATCGGTCTGGGGGGACCCCAAAATCATGGGGGGGGTCCCCAAAAATCGGGGGGACCCCAAATCCAAAGGGGGACCCCCAGGGATGGGGGAGACTCCAAGGGATGGGGGGAGATGAGAATGGGGGGACTCCGAAGGACAACACGTAGCACGTGTCTGGGGGGGGGAAAATCGGTCTGGGGGGGCCCCAAAATCATGGGAGGGGTCCCCAAAATCATGGGAGTCCCCAAAATAGGGGGACCCCAAATCCCAAGGGGACCCCAGGATGGGGAGATGAGAATGGGGGGATCCCAAAGGACAGGACGTAGCACGGGGATGGGGGGGCCAAAAATCAGTCTGGGGGGACCCCAAATTAGGGGAGGGGTCCCCAAGATCGGGGGGACCCCAAATCCAAAGGGGGACCCCCAGGGATGGGGGAGATGAGAATGGGGGGACCCCAAAGGACAGCAGGTAGCACGGGGATGGGGGGGCCAAAAATCCCCTTGGGGTCCAGGTGTGCCCAGGTGTGCCCAGGTGTGCCCAGGTGTGCCCAGCTGTGCCCAGATGTGACCTGGTGTGAGCTGGGTGCGTCCAGGTGTGACCTGGGTGTGTCAGGGGCACAGCCAGCTGTACCCAGGTGTGACCTGACCATTTTCAGGTGTGCCAGGGCATGTCCAGGTGGGTCCAGCTGTGTCAGAGAGTGCTGGGGGTGTGTCCGGGTGTGACCTGGTTGTGTCCAGCTGTGTCCAGGTGTGTCAGGGGCGTGCCCAGGTATGTCCAAGTGTGCCAGGGGTGTGCCCAGGTGTGCCAGAGGTGTGCCCAGGTATGTCCAGGTGTGTCAGGGGCGTGCCCAGGTGTGCCTAGTTGTGACCTGGGCATGCCCAGGTGTGCCAGAGGTATGCCCAGATATATCAAGGGTGTGCCCAGCTGTGTCAGGGGTGTGCCCAGGTGTGCCAGGGGCGTACCCAGGTGTGCCAGGGGCGTGCCCAGCTGTGTCAGGGGCGTGCCCAGGTGTGTCCTGAGTGTGCCCAGGTGTGACCCAGGCGTGCTCAGCTGTGTCAGGGGTGTACCCAGGTGTGCCCAGGTGTGTCAGGGGCGTGCCCAGCTGTGTCAGGGGCGTGCCCAGGTGTGCCCAGGTGTGCCCAGGTGTGCCAGAGGCATGCCCAGGTGTGCCTAGTTGTGACCTGGGTGTGCCCAGGTGTGTCAGGGGCGTGCCCAGGTGTGTCAGGGGTGTGCCCAGGTGTGCCCAGGTGTGTCAGGGGTGTGTCCAGGTGTGCCAGGGACGTGCCCAGCTGTGTCAGGGGTGTGCCCAGGTGTGCCCAGGTGTGTCAGGGGCATGCCCAGGTGTGTCAGGGGTGTGCCCAGGTATGCCCAGGTGTGTCAGGTGTGTGCCCAGGTGTGCCCAGGTGTGCCCAGGTGTGTCAGGGCGTGCCCAGCTGTGTCAGGGTATGCCCAGGTGTGCCCAGGTATGTCCAGGTGTGCCAGGGACGTGACCAGCTGTGTCAGGGGTGTGCCCAGGTGTGTCAGGGTGTGTCCAGCTGTGTCAGGGGTGTGCCCAGGTGTGCCCAGCTGTGTCAGGGGTGTGCCCAGGTGTGCCCAGGTGTGTCAGGGGTGTGCCAGGCGTGTCCCCGCCCACCTGTGCAGGTGAAGACGCCGGGGTTGCAGAGGCAGTAGCGCTGAGCGAACGCCTCCATCATCCGGTCGATCTTCTGAGCCTCGCCCGGCAGCCGAAAACTCCACAGGAACTGCCTGGGGGAGAGACAGCCCAAAATCACACCTGGGAACCCCCAAAATCCACCTGGGAACCCCCAAATTACACCTGAGAGCCCCAAAATCTACCTGGGAACCCCCAAAATCCACCTGAGATACCCCAAATTACAGCTGAGCCCTCCCCTGGCAGCCAAAAACTCCACAGGAACTGCCTGGGGGGGGAGAAACACCCCAAAATCACACCTGGGAACCCCCAAATCCACCTGGGAACCCCCAAATTCACACCTGGGAATCCCCAAAATCCACCTGGGAACCCCCAAATTATATCTGGGAACCCCCAAACCCCACCTGGGCCCCCCCAAACCCCACCTGGGCCCCCAAACCCCACCTAGGACCCCCAAACCCCACCTGGGACCCCCAACCCCCACCTGGGCCCCCAAACCTGCCCTGGGACCCCCAAATCCCCCTGGGATCCCCCAAATCCCACCTGGGCCCCAAACCCCCTGGGATCCCTCAAATGTCACCTTGGACCCCCAAACCCCACCTAGGACCCCCAAACCCCACTTGGGACCCCCAACCCCACCTGGGCCCCCTAAACCCCACCTGGGACCCCCAAACCCCCCCAGGTGCCCCCCCGTGCCCACCTGAGCGCCTGCACCAGGTTGAGGTCGGTGAACTCGTGCAGGTCGACGAAGGCGTGCAGGACCCCGATGTTGAACTCCTCCCTGGGGAGGGGGAGGGGCCAGGGGGCTGTCAATCATCCCCAGGACACGCCCACATGGAGACCACGCCCCAAACCTGCCTGTCAATCATCCCTGCCCATTCCCACCTGTCAATCAATCACCCCCAGGACACGCCCACACGGAGACCACGCCCCCACAACCCACACCCACCTGTCAATCAACCCCTGAGACACGCCCACTCTCACCTGTCAATCATCCCTGCCCATTCCCACCTGTCAATCACCCACAGGACACGCCCATTCCCACCTGTCAATCATCCCAGGACACGCCCACATGGAGACCACGCCCCCCACAACCCACACCCACCTGTCAATCAGTCCAGGACACGCCCATTCCCACCTGTCAATCACCCCAGGACACGCCCACATGGAGACCACACCCCCAATCCACACCCACCTGTCAATCACCCCCAGGACACGCCCATCCCCACCTGTCAATCACCCCCAGGACACGCCCATTCTCACCTGTCAATCACTCTGGGACAGGCCCACACAGAGACCACGCCCCCCAACCCACACCCACCTGTCAATCACCCCAAGACACGCCCACATAGAGACCACACCCCCACCTGCCTGTCAATCATCCCCGCCCATTCCCACCTGTCAATCATCCATCCCCACCTGTCAATCATCACCAGGACATGCCCATTCCCACCTGTCAATCACCCCAGGACACGGCCATTCCCACCTGTCAATCATCCCCAGGACACGCCCATCCCCACCTGTCAATCACCCCAGGACACGCCCACAACCACCTGTCAATCATCCCCGCCCATGCCCACCTGTCAATCACCCCAGGACACGCCCACAACCACCTGTCAATCATTCCCGCCCATCCCCACCTGTCAATCACCCCAGGACACGCCCATCTCCACCTGTCAATCACCCCAGGACACGCCCATCTCCACCTGTCAATCATCCCCAGGACATGCCCATCCCCACCTGTCAATCACCCTAGGACACGCCCATTTATACCTGTCAATAATCCTCGCCCATCCCCACCTGTCAATCACCACAGGACACGCCCATCCCCACCTGTCAATCACCCCCAGGACACGCCCATTTCCACCTGTCAATCACACCTGCTCATCCCCACCTGTCAATCACCCCCAGGACACGCCCACCCACCTTTTTAGCTCCTCCCACCTCTCCTGCGGCCCTCCTCTTCCACAAGCCCTCCCCTCTACCCAAGCCCCGCCTTTCAGGAAGCCACACCCTCTTCATAAGCCCCTCCCCCGTCACTCCCCACCACCGAGGGGACCCCTGAGCGTGTCCTGGTGGGGTTTTTGGCCCTCCCCTTTCCTAAGCCTCCCCTTCCCCAAGCCCTCCCACCCCAGGCCTCTCCCACCCCAGGCCCCTCCCCACCCCTACCTTTTCCCCAGGTAGTCCCCGATGTGGCGGTTTGTTGAGCCCCTCCCCTTCGACCCCTCCTCTCCCCTCCTGGGCGTGTCTGCAGGGTTCTTGGCCCCTTTCTCCCCAAGCCTCCTCCCCACCCCAGGCCCCTCCCTCACCCTCACCTTTCCCCAGGTAGTCCCCATGGTGGTTTTGTTGAGCCCCTCCTCCTTCGACCCCTCCTTCCCTCCCCCTGGGCGTGTCCTGGTGGGGTTTTGACCCCTCCCCACTCCCCAAGCCCCTCCCCCACCCCAGCCCCTCCCCCAGCCCCAGGCCCTCCGCCAGCCACCTTTCCCCAGGTAGTCTCCTGATGGCGGTTTGTGTTGAGCCCCTCCCTTGGTAGAGGAACCTGGCGTGTCCTCGGCGTGGGCGCAGCAGCTCGTTCTCCACCAGGAACTGGATCCTGAGACCCCCAGCCCCAAAAATAAAATTGGAGGTCCTCACCACACCCGACCACCCGGGCTGAGGGACCCTAAAATACCCCAAAACTCCCCAAAAATCGGCCAAGGGACCCCCAAAACCAACATCACCAAAAACGCCCTGCTGAAAAATGGCACAAGGGGACCCCAAAATCCCCAAATCCCCCAAAACGGCACCTGCACCCCAAAAACAAAATTTGGGGGGTCCCCACAACCACTCGACTCACCCAGGGCTAGGGAACTAAAACCCTCAAAACCCCCAAAAAACAGCCAAGAGGACCCCAAGATCCTCAGAATCCCCTAAAATGACACCTGCACCCCAAAATCCCCAAAACCCCAAAAGCAGCACCTGCACCCCCAAAAAACAAAATTTGGGGGGGTCCCCACAACCCCGACCCCCTGGGGCTGAGGGGACCCCAAAATCCCCAAACCCCCAAAAACAGCTAAGGGACCCCAAAATCCCCCAAATCCCCCAAAAATGACACTTGCACCCCAAAAATCCCCAAACCCCCCAAAAATGGTACCTTGCACCCTAAAAACCCAAAATTTAAAGTGTCCCCACACCCAAAACCCCCCAAAATCCCCAAAACGGCACCTGCACCCCTAAAAACAAAATTTGGGGGTCCCCACACCCCCGACCCCCAGGGCCGAGGGGAACTCAAAACCCCCAAACCCCCCAAAAAAGGCACCTTTTTGGGGTCCATGTTGAACTTCTTGCGGCCCATCCCCATCTTGCGGTTCCGCTGCAGGGTCTTGCTGTGGGGGGGATTTGGGGTTTGGGGAGTCACTCCAAAAATTTGGGGTCTTGGGGGGTTGGGGGTTCAAGGGAAGTTTGGGAGGGTTTGAGGGTAACCAAAAATTTGGCGTTTGGGGGAGGTTTGGGGGTTCAAGGAAGTTTGGGAGGTTCAAGTGAAATTTGGGGGAGGTTTGGAGGTCACCCCAAAATTTGGGGTCTTTGGGGGGCTTGAGGGGGTTCAAGGAAAGTTTGGAGGGTGTTTGGGGTTTGGGGGTCATCCCAAAAACTTGGGGTCTTGTGGGGGGTTGGGGGTTCAAGGAAGTTTGGGGAGTTTGGGGGAGGTTTGAGGTCACCCCCAAAATTTAGGGTCCTGGAAGGAGCTTGGGAGGGGTTCAAGGGAAGTTTGAGTGGGGTTTGGGAGGGTTTGGGGGGTTACCCTAAAAATTTGGGGTCTTTGGGGGAGGCTTGGGGGTTCAAGGGAAGTTTGGGGAGGTTTGGGGGTTCAGGGAAGTTTGGGGAGGTTTGGGGGTTTGGAGGTCACCCAAAAATTTGGGGTCTTTGGGGGGCTTGGGGGTTCAAGGAAATTTAGGGGAGGTTTGGGGGTTCAGGGAAGTTTTGGGGAGGTTTGGGGTTTAGAGTCACCCCAAAATTTAGGGTCTTTGGGGGATGGGGGGGTTCGAAGGAAGTTTGAGGGAGTTTGGGGAGGGTTTGAGGATCCCCAAAAATTTGGGGTCTTTGGGGGGTGTTGGGGGTTGAGGGAAGTTTGAGGGGTTTTGGGAGGGGTTTGGGGTCACCCCAAAATTTGGAGTCCTGGAGGGCTTGGGGGTTCAAGGGAAGTTTGGGGAGGTTTAGGGGGTTCAATGAAATTTGGGAGGGGTTTGAGGGGTCACCCCAAAAATTTGGGGTCTTGTGGGGGTTAGGGGGTTCAAGGGAAGTTTGGGGAAGTTTGGGGGATTTAAGTGAAGTTTGGGAGGGGTTTGAGGGAGTCACCCCAAAAATTTAGGGTCTTTGGGGGGCTTAGGGGTTCAAGAGAAATTTGGGGGAGGTTTGGAGGTCACCCCACAAAATTTGGGGTCTTTGGGGGGTTGGGGGGTTCAAAGGGAAGTTTGGGGGGTTTTTGGGGGGGTTTGAGGGGGTAACCCCAAAAGTTCTAGGGTCCTGGAAGGGCTTGGGGGGGATTCAAGTGAAGTTTGGGAGGAGGGGTGGGGTTTTTGGGGGGTCCTGAGTGCAATTTTGGGGTGATTTAGGGGGTTTTGGGGGTGATTTTGGGGGATTTTGGGGGTCCCAAGTGCGGTTCTGGGGAGATTTTGGGGTTTGGGGGTGATTTTGGAGGTTTCAGGGCTCTGAGTGCCATTTGGGGTGATTTTGGGGCTTTTGGGGGTGATTTTGGGGGATTTCGGGGGTCCTGAGTGCGATTTTGGGGTGATTTTTTTGGTTTTTAGGGGTCCTGAGCGTGATTTTGGGGTGATTTTTTTGGTTTTTAGGGGTCCTGAGTGCGATTTTGGGGTGATTTGGGGGTTTTTGGGGTGATTTTGGGGGGTTTTTGGCGTGATTTTGGGGGTTTTGGGGGGTCCCGAGAGTGATTTTGGGGTGATTTTTTTGGTTTTCAGGTGTCCTGAGTGCGATTTGGGGGTGATTTTTTGGGTTTTGGGGGGTCCCGAGCGCGATTTCGGGGTGATTTTTGGTGTTTTGGGGGTTTCCTGACCTGCCCTCGTTGGCCTCGAGCCCCTCGACCTCGCTGATGGCCTCGCTGAGCTCGTCCCGCAGGCGCTGGATCTCCCCCAGCAGCTCCTGCTTGCGGCGCCGGATGGACTCCAGCTCCCGCCGCTCCTCCAGCGTCAGGTCGGGGGGCACTGGGGGGGGACACACCTGGTGACCACCTGGACACACCTGGTGACCCCCTGGACACACCTGGTGACCCCCTGGACACACCTGGTGACCTCCTGGACACACCTGGTGACCCCCTGGACACACCTGGAGACCCCCTGGACACGCCCACTGAGCACCTGGACATGCCCACTGACCACCTGGACACACCTGGTGACCCCCTGGACACGCCCACTGAGCAGCTGGACACGCCCACTGACCACATGGACACGCCCACTGACTGCCAGGACATGGCCATTGAGCACCTGGACATGCCTATTGACAGCCAGGACATGCCCATTGACCGCCTGGACACGCCCACTGAGCACCTGGACACACCCATTGACCACCTGGACACGCCCACTGAGCACCTGGACACACCCACCGACCACAGCCATTGACCATCTGGACACACCCACTGACCACACCTACTGACCACCCTGGACACACCCACCGACCACACCCATTGACCATCTGGACACACCCACTGACCACACCTACTGACCACCTGGACACACCCACTCACCTGGACACACCCACTCACCTGGACACACCCACTCACCGCCTCGACACATCCAATGACCACACCCA